TATGCATTTCATATTATGCACATTTTCACGTCTCAGCATGATCAAACGTAACAATTTATCATGCTATCATGTAATCAATTAAATCAAATAATCACATATTAATTACCTCGGGTGATAACTAAGGTCTGGTTATCACATTATCCACCCCTCAAAAGAATTTCGTCCCGGAATTTCTTAAATCAAAAAGCCATGGGTATTCTGATCGCATCTTTGATTCCAATTCCCATGTTGCTTCTGGTCCTTTGTGAAACTTCCACCGAATTTTAACTAGACTTATTTCTTTGTTTCTCAACACCTTGATCTTTCTATCGATTACAGCTTCTGGTTTTTCCACAAAATTCAGTTTACTGTCTAGTTGAATTTCCAGTAACGGTATAGCTAAACTCGGATCAGCCAAACATTTCCGCAAATTTGACACATGAAAAGTAGTGTGAATCAGATTCAACTCTTCTGGCAGATCTAACTGATATGTTACTGGCCCGATTCGCTTACATATTCTGAACGGCCCCACATACCTTGGACTGAGCTTCCCTTTCTTTCCAAATCTGACGACACCTTTCCATGGCGAAACTTTTAACATCACAAAATCACCTATACTAAATTCAATTGGCTTTCGACGATTATCTGCATAACTTTTTTGGCGATCTTGTGCTGTTTTAATTCTTTCACGGATCTGTTTGATCTTTTCAGAAGTTTCTTGGACAATTTCAGGACCCGTCAACTGTCTCTCTCCCACTTCATTCCAACATAACGGCGTTTGACATTTACGTCCATACAACACTTCATACGGTGCCGCTTGGATACTGGAATGGTAACTATTGTTATATGCAAACTCTATCAATGGCAAGTGATCTTCCCACGATCCCCCGAAGTCAATAATACAACTTCTTAACATATCTTCGAGAGTCTGGATAGTTCTTTCACTTTGCCCATCAGTCTGCGGATGATAAGTTGTACTTAATCGGATTTCGGATCCCAAAGCTTTCTGTAATCCTTCCCAGAACTTGGAAGTAAACCGACTATCTCTATCAGAGATAATAGACAAAGGAACACCATGTCTGATAACAATTTCTTTAATGTAGATCTGCGCTAGCTTTTCTAAAGAGTTCGAGGTAATTTCATAACAAAATCCATGGTAATATGATCCCATTTCCATACAGGTATTTCTAAGGATTGAAGACTTCCGTACGGCTTCTGATGTTCAATCTTAACCTGTAAACATGTCAGACACTGTTCCACATACCGAGCTATGTCTCTTTTCAATCCTGGCCACCAATAAAAGGGTTTCAAATCTCTATACATCTTATTGGTGCCTGGATGGATAGAGTATCGGGATTTATGACTTTCATTTAATATCATATTTCGGATATCTCCAAAATATGGTATCCAAAYTCGTCCTTGAAAGCACATTAACCCTTCATCATTATGTTCCAAGTTTGAGATCATCTTACCCAACTTTTCTGATTTGATAAGATCTTATTTCATAGCTTCCTTCTGACATCTCAAAATGTCTTTATGAATATCAGGGACTAAACTTATTCTCATTGCCACCATTTTAATGGTTCCACTCCTTTCCTTTCTACTCAAAGCGTCAGCTACTACATTGGCTTTTCCTGGGTGGTAAAGAATTTCACAATCATAATCATTAACAAGTTCAATCCACCACGCTGTCGCATATTTAAATCTTTTTGGTTGAACAAATGTTGTAAACTTTTATGGTCAGTATAAATATAACATTTCGTTCCCAGAAGATAGTGTCTCCAGATTTTCAGAGCAAATACTACTGCAGCTAACTCCATATCATGAGTTGGATACTGTTTCTCATGCTCTTTCAATTGTCTTGACGCATATGATATTACTTTTCCTCTTT